AACAGTGGTGAATAATGGCCCCTGGCATGAGATAATGAAATTTTCTTAATTTATATTTTTGAAGTGGGAGCCTCAATTAAAAATAGCATCCGATGGCCTGGAGACATAGCTCTGGTGCATGTTTCAGGGGAGCGATAATAATAATGCAGTTCCAATAGTGATGGGAAATGATAGGACAGTGAAGAATTTAAGGAAGAAAAGGGAATGTACCAAAGCTTTATTGTAGCATATCTAATGATCTGCAGAAGATTCCCAGTGGCTTTTGGAGCAAGACAGGAGAAACTAATGTTATCTTGCCAAAACAGAAGTCTCTGCTTAATCACCAGAGCAAGACCATTGATTAAAACACCTCACCCAGATAGATTGCTCCTGGAATCTCATCTCCATACTTTTCTCTTGGTAAAGTATAATAATGAGAATATGATAATCAAAAGAAGGGCAAAAGCAATTTGTTGGGAATTGTACGCATTGAAATTACAGCAAGAAGGCAAACAAATTAGAATGGAAACAAAGAGCATTTTTTAAAGCCAACCACAGATGGGACAGACTTCCAGAGTGATAAATGAAAAGTGGCAAATACAGGAGCAGTGGAGATGTAACACAGCCTCCCCTCCTTGTTTCTTTTCTTTTCTTTAGCCTTAGACATTTTTCTTCCAGCTATTGTGTGAAGAAGCAGACCTGTGTTTTCGCAATAATTTGAAACTGTTAATTAGATGGCAACCTGATTTCAAAATTTTCTCAGTGCAATGAAGCCCCGGTTTTTCTGAATGCTTTAAAAAGTTAAAAATACCACATAAACAAAATAAAAAATGTATGTACCTTACATTAATCTATAAAATAAATGTGTTAGAAGTATCCTGGCTGTTGTTTTCACGTACAGATTGTTCTTACATTTTGAGAAACTTTCAGATTTTCTTAGAGTGTGGTAGAGATGCTAATTCTCTCCCCCCCCCCGTAGCTTAGTAAGACTTTTTTCTCTCTTCCCGTTAGACTCTGTTCCTGTTCAGGAACAGTTTTTATACATTGATTGTCTTTGGTGTTGCAGTGTTCACGTTATAATTCCCTATTTCTTCAGTGCCAAGAATTCCCAATCTATGTATCTGTAGCTATAGCTATAGCACTAGCAATATTCGAAATATGGACCTGGGAAGACAACAATTTGACAAAATTGAGCTACAAGCCTTCCAAAGCCCATGTTCCATTTTACAATATTGTAGAACAGTGGTGGACAGCCTAAGTAAGAGATAACTGTTTTCTTACTTGGCTGATGCAGGATTTCCAGAATTATTTATTTATATTTACCCATACCTTCTGTTCAGCTAAATTTCTATAGGTCGTGGGCAGCTTGCAAAAGGTCAGAACATGGGATTAAAAATGTTGGCTATATAAAGCACCAATCAATGAGTGTTAACAGTCCTCCTCACAGGTGTAGGCTAAACTTACATATTCCCAAGTGCATTGGTAAAAAAGATAGTTCTTAAGAAGTGTGAGAAAGTGAAAGAGGACCGGAAAACCAGGGATAAGCTGTTCCATAGAAATATTACAAGATACCCTATTATATCCTGTTTATCTAGAGGAGGGAAAAGCTCTTACCACTGATGGATATTATATACTTCTTTACCCTAATCGTTCAGTGATTTATATCTGCCTAGTGACTTTGGCAGTTATAGCAAATCATGTTACATTATGCAGGTTTGATAAACTATAACGTGAAGCCTAGTAAGACTTTTTTCTCTCTTCCCGTTAGACTCTTTTTTTTTTTTTAGGGGACATATTTAAAAACCACTGTATAGCATATCTATTTTGTTTGTTTCACTCAAGAGGGCAAATATTTTTTATGATAATAGTCATAGAATAAGATATATAAATATTGTAATTTCTATGTGGTTTACAACTAATCCATTTTGCCCATAAAATAAGGGCAATTCCCACCCTTTTGGAGACCTGTTCCTATGGTCAAAACCTACTCCAGATGGTTGTAAGATCCAAAGGGATGGAAAATTTTCCAAATTAGGAAGCCAGGGGAACTAAAAGAAGGTATTTTCATCTAAGTGAAATTAAGAAACAAAATGATATTTATTAATTATATGAAACAATGTTTAAAGAGACTTTCAATTACTATTATCTAAACTTTATAGGTCAAAAGAAGATAGTTTGTATTGTTATTCTATCGCACCATTTTGGAACTGGTCATGAAAGTTATTCACATAGATACATAAACATAGTTCCTGGCATATCACAATAGTTGGGAATAGAGCTTCTGTTGTTAAACAAAGCAGTTGTTAAGTAAGTTATTGAGGATGAGTAAATCACATGGTCATTAAGCAAATCCAGCTTCCCTCATTGACTTTGCTTGTCAGAAGCTGGCTGGGAAAGCTCCAAATGGCTATCACATGATATTGGGATGCTGCAGTTGTCACACACACATGCCAATTGCCAAGCACCTGAATTTTGATCATGTGGTTATGGGGGATGCTATGACAAGTTTTAAGTGTACCAGTTGTAAGTCACTTTTTTCCAGTGCCATTATAACTTGGAACAGTCGCTAAACAAATGGTTGTAAGTGGAGGACTTCCTGTGAAAGTCATTAATGCTTCCTAAGCTGTCGTGGTGCAGTGGTTACAATGCAGTACTGCAAGCTAATACTAATGACTGCCAGCAGTTCAATTCTCACCAGCTCAAAGTTGACTCAGCCTTCCATCCTTCTGAGGTGGGTAAAATGAGGACTCAGATTGTTGGGGGCAATATGCTGACTCTGTAAACTGCTTAGAGATGACTGTAAAGCATGGTACAGCGGTATATAAGTCTAAGTGTTTATTGCTATTGCTAAGCAGCCATACCAAGTGTATCAGAGGTCACTGCTACCCTTGCACTTTAAGGAAAGGCATTTTAAACGGCCCAAATTGTTTTACGAACATTCCCTTTGAATACTTTCCATAGCCTAGTCTCTTTCATCCAGATCATTTGAAGTACAGTAACAAAATTCAGCACCCAATTTCAGCTAGAATAGCCGTGCCATTTCAGTCTACAGTACTTGGGATGTAAAGCATTGTTAGTTTACAAGTCTAACTACCATTATGAAAATATCTTCTGAATTTATTAAGAAGATGTATAGTATATGTATGTGTATTACTTTTTGGGGGGCAAGACATTTTATACAAATGTAACAGTTAACCATAGAGTACCTACTACCTAGTTAAGATGGGCACATTTGAAAAGAAATTATGAGGGGTGTCTGTCAGTTTATTGTGGGAAAATGCTGAATACACATTGTCTGGTTTACAGTAGTAGACCTGAACCAACAGGCAGCTATCATTGTTGTAGGAATGAGACAATCAGCATGACAGCCTGAAATCTATAACATATTTCATGGGGTTGTTTTATCCAAAAACTGGGGGGGGGGGAACTTCTTTTCCTTTGAAGGTTAAAACTAACTTTTCAGAAGCTAAATACTAAAAAGAAGGGGAGATGTCTGTTTTATCATTTATTAACAACACTGAAGTTACTCTGAAAAGCTGCAATTAAGCTCACTTTAATATTCATTTAGCAAACATGAATTGAAATATATGGCTTGATCTTACACCTGTTTTGAAAACATGGCTTGATCTTACACCTGTTTTTTAGGAAGGCAGATGTCAGAAACTCTCTAAGTCTCCAGCATAAGATAGATGTCTCCAACTTATGCAAGGGTATTCAATAGTATGGGAAGTGCTAGTAATGCAGTAGTTTGATATATGGCTGGAGTCAAAGGCTAGACTATTATTTTAAGATCTGGCTGCCTTTTCTTCAGTTTACTGACAAACAGAACTTACCCAGGAGAGCAGCCAAACTTCCTTTGTTTTAGTTACCAAACTGTTTTGTTTGGCTCCTTGCTTTGACTTCACAATGAAACACTGAAAGTTGTTTTGCTGAACTTAGTTTTATTCTAAGTTTTGACAAGTATCACTTCATTTATATTCAAAATTAAAGTTCAGTTCGAAACACCAAGTCTTTTATATTGTATCTGTCTACAGGCTGCCAAAGCTCTTTAAATCAACAGCTTCTGATTAGCATGGTCATTTTATGGGAAATGGATCATAGCTTGATTTCTTGTAAAGGTTTATTTGGGGTGAGAGATGAATGTTGAGGAAGGATATGACTTGAAATGTCCTTGAAATGTAAAATGTCATTTCAGAGAAATGTCTTACAGATGGACATCTTGAGTAATTTTTTTCCAGTATTAAATCTGATATATTTTTAATGTTCATGCTTGCTTTTTTATGATTTTTAATATTATACACTTTGTAAAAAAATATCCTGATTTTCTAATTTTTTTAAAATTCAATTTTTATTTTCATTTGTTAGTTTATATTACCATAATATTTATAATTTAACATAATATAATAACAATAACATAATATTTTATGTTGAGTTCAATCCACTTAGGAATTTGCCAATAATATTGTTGGTGGCCCAGTAGTTGTCACATCTCCACAATACCATCGAGGGTACAGTAGTATTTCCGTCTTTAAAACTTTGGCCTCTCCAATGCCGAGCACAACTGTTGGAAAATATCCAGCTGTAAACAATAAGTATAACTATTTAAATTATGTTGCTTTCTAAAAAAAATATTGCTAGTTAATAATTGTAATGACTGAAAATTCATTAATTGTTAGAAAAATTGAATTCAAAATGTTTCACCATCCAAAAAATAAATAAATAAATAAAAACAACAACCTGGACTTTTGAAAAAAGGACAGGAATTATCTGTTGTTACCCAAACTCTTAGCTACGATTGCTGTGAATTGACATTTCATTATACACTGAACATTGAACATTCATTCATTGAACCAATTACATATTCACATTTTTCCACTTTCTGGGAAACATGCACATTATAATCCATTGCATCTGACAAGTATTAAACTATGGAGGATTATAGAAATTATCACCAGAAGATAAAAATAATAAGTTATTCTAAAATTGCTCCATTGATTTTTTCTCTCTCTATCCTGTTACAGGTGCAACAACAGAACTCAATGTATAGTAGTTACTGGGTCGGATGTGTTTCCTGATCCTTGTCCTGGAACATATAAATACCTCGAAGTCCAATATGAATGTGTCCCTTACAGTAAGTATGCTCCCCCCCACTCTTCTTCTTCCTTTACTCTAGCTTTCACAATTGATGCTGGAGCCATACTGATGGAGAAACGAAGCACATGTTTATGGCCTGAGAACCATTTTGCATGCAGAACACTTGCAGACTAGGGTCTCCAATTAGCTTCACGAAGTGTGGAAAGGAGCCATGGTGTGATGCTGGCCAAGTGTCTGTCTGTGTTCTTAAGTGTTTGGCTTTTAAGGCTACTATAGTTGATTTTTTTTCCCTCTCAGAAAAAGAAACTTGAATTAGCTATTCAAAAGAGTCAATAGGAATTTGTACTTATGCCCAGTACCAGTTCTTGACAAATTGGCTTGGCTTGCAGTTCTGTAAAGAAACTACTGACTTTACTATTAGTTTTGAAAGGACTACCTGCTGTGGTAATTTTGGCTCATGAATTGGAGCGTGCCGTGGATGTATCTGGGAATAATGTCCTGGGTATTACTAGATTTAGCACAATTTATTTTACCCTCAGCTTAAATATCATAGTCCTTGATCAAGAATGTATCTATAATGATACATATTTATCATTTTCTCCCAAAAGAATTTCAGATTTTAAAAACTATGTGTCTACTCCATTATGTAAGGCTAAGTGATACAGCTGTGTGCAAAGTTTCAGGGACCCCTGGTCACAATCTGTGTTTCACTGAATCTGTAAGTGAATGGAAGCTGACAAAATCATTACATCTTGTAAAATAAGTCCTGTATCTTTTTGAAAATTTTGGACATTTTATCAGTCTGAAAACAATCTAAACCATGCCTGCAAATCAGTCATGAGCTACTTACAAGGCAGAAAGATAAATGTTTTGGATTGGCCTTTATACTCCCCAAGTAAAATAATACTCAAAATCAGCAAAAAAATCCCAAACATATTGTGCATACAAAGATATCTAAGAATATTTCTGAATTATAAGAGTTCTGAAATAAAGAGTTAGGTTTAGGTTAGGTTTATTGGCTTTGTATGCTGCCCACTCCCGAAGGACTCCGGGCGGCTCGAGTAATAACAACAACAAGAAAAAGCCACAAATAGGATTCTTAGGTTGCTAAAGAATGGGTGTCAAACTCGTGGTGTTACGTTGATATCGTGTGATGTATCGTGACATTTTTCCCTTCATGGAGCTGGGTGGGTGTGGCCTTCAAGTAACGCATCCAGCCTGTGGGCTGCCAGTTTGACACCCTTGAGCTAGAGTAACACTTAGCAGCTATTAATTTCTTTTACAAAAGAAGACACAGGTGGTCCTCACTTAGACACCACAATTGGGTCTGGCATTTCTGTTTTTAAAGCCAAAAATCACATGGCTGTAACAGTCTTATGACCTCACTTCCAATTTGGTCATGAAGTAAATTATTATGGTCATTAAAGGAAGCATCGTGTAACTGCAACTTATGATTCTTCATTCTCTATTTACTCTGCTTGCTGCAAGCAAACTACAGACTACACAAATGGTGATCACATGACTGTGGGACTCTGTCACAGTCACAAACACGCACTGTTTACAAAGAACCTGAATGGCAATCAGGTGTATTGCAGGGTGCTGCTGTGGTCATACTGTAACTGAAAGAATTAGTTGCACAGCTATTTCTTTTATGCTGTTATAACTTTGAAATAACAATAGAACCTAGACATACATACAGCTTCACAACATTTTACAGTGCTCTCCAAGCTGTTTACAGAGTCAACCTTGAGCCTGGTGAGATTCAAACTGCCAAATTGCAGGCAGTCAGCAGAAGTAGCCTGCAGTACTGCATTTTGACCACTGTACCACTGCAGCTCTTATGGTCATTAAAAAGGCAGTCAATAAATTCAACTTTAAGATCACAATCAGGATCACATCTTCTGTTGCTAAGTCATGCAGTCCTTAACTGAGTCATACCTGATATTATGTCCTTTTTGCTGCACGTGATTAAGTGAATTATATGGTGATTAATCATTCAATCTTTTAGTAACTCTGACTCTCCCCCGCCCCACCTCCAAGTACATTGCCTGTAAAAGTCCCCAGTAGAGATCAGATGACCCCCCAAGATGCTGCAGCAATCATAAATATTGTAATCAAATGCTCAAATTTTGATCAGGTGACCATCGATATGCAAGGACTGGTCATAGATCCCCTTTTTTCTGCACCTTCATAACTTTGAACAGCTGTTAAACAAATGGTCATAATTCGAGGACTACCTATATTACAAAGCACTGACTGAAAAGATATCCAAAACCTTTGTATCTGCCATATTTACTGTTTTCTTATTTTGAATAAGTACATAACTACACATTGAAAGTATGCATCCAAATTTGCAGAAAAATGTCATCATTAATGTACCATGTTGAGGCTGTGAAACCTCAACATTTATTTATTGACATGCACAATTTATGACTGCATCTCTGTATATCTAATCTTTTCACAGAGGTTTCTGCAGTCTACCCGTAGCAACAGCTGGTCACAAATCTTACATTGCTTGATTCATTTTTCACTTGATTCACAAATAGTTGTACACTTTTTTTAGAATTCCATTGTTAAACATAAATTGACACTTAGTGTCATCTTTTCTATTAGAAAAAAAGATACTTGTTCTGACCTAGGCTTCCTGATACAGAAAAAGCACACAATTAGGTCCCAAAACCCTCTTTTTATTTCAAAGGCTATGAATTATATTCATTCACAGCCCGTAATGAGTCCCTAATTGTTGTAAAGAGTCCTGCAGTAGTCTGCCAAAGTCCTTTGGGATAAGGCTGAGAAGCACCCACCTTTATCTTCTTTGAAAATGCTGCCAAAGACTTAAGTGGCAATTAGCTTGGCAAGGCCAATGGAGCTTCAGAAGGTAAACTCACCAGCATGAACCAAGTTGCTTCCTGCAAAGGCTCATGTGCCTTTGCTCCTCCTTTATATCCTATGGGAGCAGCCAATCACCTTACTCTCGAGTCGTCCCTTCTGTCTTAACTGTTCTTGCCTTTTGGCAGCTCTGTGCATGTGCACCCTGGGAACAAGGGGAGCCTGTTCCTCTTCCTCGCTGCTGTCTGACTCTGGAGGCTCCAGAGGTAACACATAACTCCCAGATGGCCCTGGCCCCCTCTCTGCCTCCGATGCAGAGCCTCATCTGAGCCTTCCCCAGACTCCAGGACTGGCCAATGTTCTTCCCCAACCTCCTCACTGTCCGACTCTGCTGTCAGCTTTGCAGGTCACCGGCAGACCACAACAATACTGCCTATAACTGTAAAATTTAGTGGTGCATGAATTGTGCACCCGTTTATTTCTTGTGCCCCATTTAATTATTTTAATACTCACAAACTTAAGCTTTTTTTTTTTAGTAAAAGGGAAGTACATATTCCATAAGTTGAAACAATAGTACTGGTGCTACTCTTGTGTTAAAAACACAAACCAGGTTAACAATCAAGACTCCATCCATGCTTTATATTTATACTAATTTCCCTAATTACATCATTAAAACACTATAATATAATTTGTACTGGCAATACTTAGTATTTAATTCTTCTGTGAACTTTACTAAGAAGCAATTAAAGGCCAAACACAGTTCATATTTTTTTTCATTTTTGCTGTGTATTTCTACCATTGTGTCATTGCAAAAAAGATGCTTGTTGTGGTTTTATTTTTCTGTACCATCAGTAAATTTGAAATGCACTGCATATGCTGAATTTTAATATCTGTTTTCCAGTGTCTTATTATTGGTGGCTCATTATATCATTTTTCTTGTAGCATGTGGGAGTAATGCATTTTTGCCTATTAAGAAAAAAATATAATTTTGATCATAACATCCCCTTACCTTGAAATTACTATTTTAAATTACCAGAAAGAGGCTATGACACCATTCAAATATCAAGATTCTTATATTTCTTGGGATCATTTCCTGTAGCAGGAGGAAGTGCTTAAATATACATAAATATTATTTTCAGATCATTTGCTGAGCTCTTAGGACAAATGTGGATGCATTCCTGCCAGTCAAGTTTTTTTTTTAATGTAAAAAAATGATTTCTTTTGCAGTTAACTGAAGAAAACTCTGAATGGCATTGCAAAATACTGTTTGGTGGTCATCTATTACATATTTTCCTAAGTTTTTTTATGCAGGACTAATGTCGATAGAATTTTTTTTCTAACTGGTGGACCAAATTTAGAGTTTAATTTTGAATAAATCTATTTGGAATTGATATTGGGTGAATATTTACTTTTTAAAATTACACATTATTTTTTTAAATCTCAGGCGAGCTTACTGGTGCTTCGTTTAATTTGTGCTGCATTTAAAGTGTAAAAATATGTTTCTAGCATATGCTGAAATAAAATTAATTCTGTAGCCCAATAATTGATTCCTAACCAGGTGCAGAGCTGTAACCTTTCTAGTGACTGATTTAACACCAGCTTATTTCAAAACTACAGATTTAAAAAAAAAACAATGAGGCCAATGGAACAATGTTAATGTTAATAACTCTTAACTGCAGCCAAAGTATACACTGCTGCTTTTGTTGAATACCTAATTTTGGTATCATTGCCCTTCCGCTTCAGCCAGTAGGATCTTCCTACTAAATGTATGAAAATCTCTCATTCAAAACTGCCTCTCTGTACCCATAGTAATTATAGATATATTGCCTTGCAGTTATATAAATATAACTGTAGTTATATTTATAGTGACTGGAGAAAATTATTCAAACAATTTAATTTAAGGTATAAGTAATATGGCTATTCATTTTTCTGTACTATCATTATGACATTACAAAAGGCATTTTATTCATACTTGTACATACTATATGTGCAGTAATGCCAAAATAAGGTACACATCTGTTCTCTGAAATTATCCATATTTCTGTGACGTATTCAGAATCTTCCCAGGAGCTTCACTTGCTTGTTCAAATCTCTGCTCTTTTCCATAGCAACCTACTTTCAAATTTTAGCTTTCTTCTTTCTGCAATGCCCAAATTCTTCCTTTTTCTGCTTTTTTACATTCTGTTTGCAATGGGATTGTAAGGCTTT